CTACACTCACAACTCCACTCCAACATCTGTTCTCTTCTCAGCCTCTTGCTGCTGCACCTCTTCCACTCAGCCTCTCACGGTCTCACCTCGCTTTGCTCCTGCACCTCGCCCCTCAACCTCTCATGCTCTCATTTGTTGCCCTAGTCCCCTTATTGGCTAGGTGTTCTATTTTCTAATTGATTGAAGAATGATTATGTTAATAGGGTTATTAGGTTATTACTCATTAGAATATTAGGTTATTTGGATTATTTGCCTATTTAAGTTTTTGATTATTGAATTTGTGGTTATTTGAGTATTTGATTATTTGCCAATTTGAGAACATAGATTTATAGAAAGAAAATCTCCTGAAGCAGTTATATGATTGTTTGACTTCATAATAACTCACCTCTTTGTTTAAAATAGTTTTATGATTGGGTGAAAACACAGGTGTTCATATCCCATGGTGGACAGTTCAAATGCAAGCACATAATAATCTATAAATTCAACTCAACTTGATAATTATAAATCATAATATCATCATGATATGTTGAGTTAGAGGGCTGAAAGTGGATAGTGAAACAACTAGAAATATTAAGGATTACTTTTAGGCATCCTTGGGTACTTAGAAATATTAAGGATGAATTGATATTTGATAGATGTGAGCATTCATCAAAATGCAAGACTTACATGAAGTATATGGCAATTATGCATATATCCCATGTTAAAACATACCTCATGTCATTTAGTGCTAGAGCAACAACACAAAAATCAAGAACATCACTCCACTTGATCATATGGAACCACAAAACTTGAAATTGCATGTTTCCCAGATACTTTTAAAGAAATCGCTAAAAATAGGGAGTTATAAATTCCCCATCTCATTGGGGGAGGAAAACGAATCCTTTCTCACCAGCAAGCTAAGCTCCTAATCCTCTTAGTCGGCTTACCTTTAACCTAACTCTCTAGTTTATGGCCTAAAAACACGGGAAAACACTACTTTTTGATCAAAAAACAGAAGGCCGAAATAACTTGAGAAAGTTAGTGTTGGTCCCAAATGGTCTACAAGAATACTAAACAGTTTGTAGAATGGGAGGGGGGGGTGAATACAAACACAATTTTCAAATTTAAAATATATATTGATAAAGAGATCAATACAGATTTTACAAGATT